AGAAGGAAATCTGACGCTGACTCTGACTCGCCCAAGGGAGGACTGGGTGCTCAAGGGTCCAGGGAAGAGGACTGCTCCCTCAGCAGGTGTTGTGAGCTTAGGAGGCACCTGTGGGACAGCATGACTGAGAGAAGGCCAGGCAGTTAATGGTCCGTAGAGAAGTGAGAACACCATGTATACGGAAACTATTTTGGGGTCACCCTCATGCTCCCACATTTCCTTTCAACTATTAACGTACAGCTATTAATATTTAATTTTCCAGCCAGGCAGCTTTAGTTTAAGGAAATTGTCTACCTGGGTGGTCCCTAAGCAACATTACTACCTGGGAAACATTTTGCTTTTGCTTTGGGCTTCTTTCTTCCTCTTTTTAAAAAACCCTATTTATTTAATTAAAGTAGGCTCCACGCCCATCGTGGGGCTCGAACCTCTCACAACCCTGAGATCAAGAGCTGCTATGTTCCACTGACCCATCAACCCGGAGGAAAACATCTAGTCATTCCTGGGCACTTTATTTGTACTCCTTTTTAAGAGATTGTGGTTGGGTTCCCCTTTTTCTTTAATATTTCCCAACTATGTGTTGTTGGTATATATGCAATCTATTGATCTTGTGTATTTGCTTGTCGCCCACATTTCTGAAGTCTTTGACTTATTTCAGGGAATTGGCCATTGATTTTCTTGAGTGTTGTGGGTAGGAAGGCAGAGCGTCTGCTAATAAGTGTCAGTTCATTTCACGGTGGTTAATATTTGAACTTCTCATTTCCTCTTGTGTTAAGGAATTAACTTAGAAGTTCCAGAAAAATCCTGAATAATTGTGGAAATAGGGATTCTGTTTTATTCTTGACATTAATGGGAAAGTGCTAATGTTTCATTAAGTAAGGTAACCCCCTGAAGTTGGCACTGGGATTTGAAGTTCAAAGCCAAACGCAAGTCCTTGAACCAGAGCAGGTGAGTGTAACGGGTCAGGTCTGCAGAAGGAAACAGAGTCTGGGGCAGCCACCGGCAGGAGCAGGGCCAAGGAGGCTTCACGGAAGCGTTCAGTTGATCTTTTCCTCTCTCTGCTGGCTCTTAGTTCAGGAATGATCGAAAGCAGTTATTCACCAACCATGTTGAAAGCATTTCTGCGTCTGGGAGCTCTGCTGTTGTCAGGGATATAAACCCAGCCACCTTGGCTTTCTGGGTTCCAGGGGTGCGTGTACGTTTTCTCGCACTCAGGCGTGGGGGAGACCCCGCCCAGGTGAGCACGACCAGCCTGCACCTTTGTCTTTCCACCACGAGGGGGCGCGTGGACCACGCCGAAGCCGCGTATGGAGGGCCGGGGAGGAGAAGGGTCTGGAAGGAGCAGCTCATCTGAGAGTGTGCAGGGAGGGTGAGGCCCGGTAGGGGGAGGATGCCAACGTGGGGCAAAATTGGGACCTTAGCTTGCAGCTAGGGCTGGTGGGAGAGAAGACAGAGATCTGAGCTGTAAGAGCGAGAAAGGACGCAGAAAGGACTAGCACGGATTGGTTTGGAGGCTGGCTCTGGGGGGAGTTACACTGGGAACCCGGGCAGGGACTGGGAGTATTCTATTCCGGATGGGTCATCTTGAAAATGTGTCCTCAGATGAGAAGCAGGAAGCTTCCAGGGGCAGTAGGGATCAGGTAGAGTGAGAGCCATCCGGGGGCTCAGGCTGGAGGCTGCGTGAGACATAGCCTGCCAGGAGGGGACCTCCAGAAATGACTCAGATCCAAGACCTGGGATTCGAATTTGAGTCACTGCTCCGGTCTTCTCCCCCCAGCTCATAGCTAACCCCTCGGCAAACTCAGTGCTCATTGGGTCCATCTGCGAGTCCTTCAGGCTTGATGTCCAGAATGTATCCTGAACTCTGGCTGCTTGCTATCGTCACAGCGGCTCCCATCCCAGTCCATTCCAGTGCGAGTCCTTCCCCCGGATTTGTTTCTGGTCTCCCTGTTTCCATCCTTCTGTCACCATTGTCCCTTCCTCACACAGCAGCCAAAGCGATGTTTTTTAATCTTTTTTAAAATATTTATTTATTTGACAGACAGAGATCACAAGTAGGCAGAGAGGCAGGCAGAGAGAGAGAGAAGCAGGCTCCCTGCTGAGCAGAGAGCCCGATGCGGGGCTCGATCCCAGAACCCTGGGATCATGACCTGAGCTGAAGGCAGAGGCTTTAACCCACTGAGCCACCCAGGTGCCCCCAAAGCGATGTTTTAACACCCTAAAGCAGGGGCGCCTGCGTGGCTCAGTGGGTTAAGCCTCTGACCTCTGCTCAGGTCATGATCTCAGCATCCAAGAATTGAATCCCTGCTCAGCGGGGAGGATGCTTCTCCCTCTCCCTCTGGCCCTCTCCCTGCTCCTGCTCTCTCTCGCTCTCAAATAAATAAGATGTTAAAAAAAAAAAAAACACAACCCAAAAAACTAAAGCAAATCCTATCGCCATCTTTGCTAGAACCTACCAGGTGAGGCCTTTTGTCGTAGAAACTCCTTCTCAAGGCTAACCATGCCTTCCTTGCAGGATCTGACTGCTGCCAGCCTTTCCCACATCTTCTGACTCTCCTCGTGTTCATGATGCTCCCACCCACTGGTCGTTATTCTGCCTTTCAAACACCAAGATTGTTGCTGCCCTAGGGACTTGGCATTTGCTGTGCCCTCTGCCCCAAATGCTCTTTCCCCAGATACTCCCATCTTTGATTCTTTTCCTTTCACTTGGAAAAGGAACAAAAAGAAGAATGGTCTGGGATGCTGAGATGGTGTGGTCATTGGCTTTACTCATTGTCTTTCTGGAAATCTTCCCTGATATTTCTGAGAGACATCACAGCATGGACGAGTCTATGTTGGAACTAGTGATCATGGTGGTGGTCCCAGAAGGAGGTAAGATGTGTGTTGAACCTTGACGGAGGGTATTGTTTTAATAAGCAGAAGTGGGGTAAACTCCATGCAAGGAGGGGAGACACTCACTTGTTCTGCTTGGTCTTTATTAGAGTACCAAAGCAGAAAATAAATACTCAATGTAGAATTCTTGAGTGAATGTACCAATACATGAGCAAAGGAAATGGAGAACTCTAAATGTGTCTGTTTTTCAAGTTCTAGTGACAAGCCGGGTTGAAAAGGCAGCATTCAGCCAAATTGGAGAGGACCTTAACAGCAACTACAGTTAAGTCCTGTATCCTGGTGACATCTCCTGCATAAACTCAAGCCCTCCATCCTTAAAGTCTAGCTGGTGAACTGTCTCCAGAGGAATCTTCGAGAGAGACAAGGTAGTACTAAGTGACTGAGGAATGGCCAAGGAGAGAGTTTGTGGCAATGAGGTCCTCCTGGGGTGGGGCATCTTCAAAGAGCACTTGAACTTGGTCCTGCCTGCAGGAGAATCTGTTGCTGGTTCCCTCTCTGTCTCTCTCTTTTTTTTTTTTTTAAGATTTTATTTATTTATTTGACAGACCCAGAGAGATCACAAGTAGGCAGAGAGGAAGGCAGAGGGGGAGGGGGAAGCAGGCTCCCTGCTGAGCAGAGAGCCCCATGTGGGGCTTGATCCTAGGACCCTGAGATCATGACCTGAGCCGAAGGCAGAAGCTTAACCCACTGAGCCACCCAGATGCCCTCATTGGTGGTTCTCTATTGGGCGGGCAGGAGGTGCTCGTGGAAGGATCTGCATTTGCTCCTCTAGGCCCCTCATCCTCCCTGATGATCCTGCCTGGTAATGTCCACAGTCCAACCCCACCATCACTCATGTCCCTTGTCAGGCCCCTGTGGCCCTCCCCTCAGCCATCTCACGCCCACTGGTCAGGAACAATCTTTTCTCTCTTCTTGACAGCTGTCTTTACTTCACTTCCTTCTCTGAAATCTGAATCCCTTCAGGAAACTTCTCTGGGTGTCTGAGTGGCTCTGGGTCCCTCTCCCCTTCCCCCACAGCTGGCCAGGACTGGGGTCTCCAGAGGTTCCCTCCCCCTGCCCACCCCAACCCATCTCTCCTGCTGTGGTGGGGTGGGATCTCGCATTCCAGTCTGCCTTAGCCTGGCCTGTTCCTGTGGACTTTGGGTTTCCTTATTGATCTGAAATTCTTCTCCTGTCATGTGGTTTTCTTTATCTGTTCGCAGCTATATTTTCCCTTCTTGACTATGTGGATTGTTTTCCTCTGCAGCCTCTACTGTTCCAACAGGAGTTTTGTTTTTTGTTTTTTGTTTTTTGTTCCTTTCCATCTGGTTCCAGAGGAGAGGAATGTGGATTTCGCACAGACTGAGGAGGTATTTCCTCGGCTTTGAGTTCCGCACCAGGTCAAAGTATCAGAAATAACAAGTCGAACCTTCACGTTCAGGCTCTCAAGAAAGATTAAGGGTTGGCTCAGAGTTCTGGACGCTTGGGGTGATTTCCTTAAGGAGATCAGCTTGGAGGCCGGGGCCAGGGAGGGAAAGGGAACGAAGTCTGCGTCACACAAATGGGCTCCATAGAAAGGTCAGGTGTGGGAGCCCTGCTGTGTCTTTTGGGGCTTTTAAACCTGTGGAGGGTGGTGGGTAACTGGGTTAAAAAACAAAAAACAAAAACACACTCAAGTGAATTTGGAAGAAGTCTAATGAGCTACGGTCTGGGGAGGTTCCAAGGCCCAAAGGTATGTGGAAAGTGGAGCCCCTGGAATGGAGGAGGGCTGTGTCTCAGGGAGGAGTTGTGTCTGGGCCACTGAGGCACACAGAAGAGACATGGGTTTGTGTTAAAGAGGGTCTATAACCTCACAACAGAGGAGATGTCGCCAGTGGGCTCTTGAACAAGGCCCGAGGGCCCAGCTGGTCCACGCCACGCACAGATGGACCCCCCTGCGCCCCAGGGCAGGATGCTTTGAGTTGATAGCAAGAATTTCAGATGAATGAAGGCTTAGGAAAACAGGATGAAGGGTCATATCTACTCCCATTTTTATATCATGTCAGTTTAAAAATACCTTTCTACACTGGGTGCTAGGCAAGGGGATTACTGTTGGTTTGATTAGATTAGATCAGACAGATCAGATCATGGGGCTTCGCAAGTCAGTTCAGCCCAGAGTCAGCTCAGGGGCCGGTACTTGAGTCTTCCCTCCTCCGAGTGTCTGAACTCACCACCGGACCCCTAGCTCGGACCCCTAGCTCGTCTCTCCTGCCATGAGGTGGGGTGGCTCCTGTCCCCGGGGGCCCTTGGAGCCGTCAGCCCTCGCTCCAGGCCACAGCACAGTGAGGGGCTGGGCCAGGCTGCTGTGCTTCACACGGCAGGAGTAGGAGTCCGGGGCTCCGTCCTGCGGGGAAGCTGACATTACCACCCAGGACTGGTAAGTGCTGTTTCCGCTGGGAAGCACGTCTCCCCCCGACTCAGTCTCCTGTGTATCGCCCCCCTGAATCCAGTGCAGCTCAATTTCTCGTGGGTAGAAGCCATCAGCCCGGCACTTGAGTGTCTGAGTTTCTCCCGGGGTCCCGTGGCTGGTGATGGACACGGAGGGAGGATCTGTGGAGGGACAGAGGGTGGATAGCGAGAGCCTGCTCTCAATGGCTCCCTGCTCCCTCCCCTCTCTGGGGGTCAGTGATGAGCAGAACTCCAAGCTCTGTGTCTGTCTCCCCAGAGAAACTTTGTGAAGATCAGGGAAGGCTGAGGGTTTCCAGGAGCTTCCCCGTTGGATCGTGGAATGACCGCCGCTGCCCTTGGGCTCCCCGTCCCTCCACAGTCTATTGACATCTGATGGCAAGAAACTGTGACTACCCTCCCATACATTTTCCTATTTATTCCCAGACTTCTGGGTGAGTTTTGGGGCTCCCTCCTCCCCCAGTCTCAGCTCCATGCCTTAGTTCTGCCTGTGGCTCTATCCATCAGACCCCTCCCTGCTCTGCAGGGCCCTCGTTCTCACTGCTTCCCAAACCCAAGGCTTGCGACAACCCGGCTGTGACAGGCAGGCATTTCCCACACCTGCCTTCATGCACGGCTCTGCCTGGAGGCATCGTCCTAGAGACACCACCGTGGGATTGGCGGGAGCTGCCCCCTGACCCCACTCCCAGCCTGAGATCACCTTGGTCTTTCTCAGCTCAGCTCGGGGGAGCAGGACAGAGGAAGCAGGGTACCTTGTCGGTCCAGGTAGGTCTTGCCGTGTTGCAGGTACCTCCGCAGCATCGCGGGGCACTCCTCTTCCAGGTAGGCCTTGGCCCGCAGCACGTACACTTCTTCTGCCTCCCACTTCTGCTTGGTGATCAGAGCGGCAGGGTCCTGGGGGACCCACGCTGGGATTTCTTTGTTGAACTCGATGAAGTTCCTTCCGTCATAGGCGTACCTCCAGAATGCTCCGCTGTTTTTGTCATTCTGGAGCTCACAGCCAAACATTCCCTGAAAGGTGTGAGACCCTGCACCCTCCCCGGCCACCCCAGGGGAAGTTAGTCAGCTTGGCACGCACTGCACTGTGTTTTAATAACTTTCACTGCTACACAGTTTGCAGAAACAACAGGAAGCAAGGTTTTGGAGATCTAAGCACATGGTCCCTATATTTTGGCGAATGGGTTATAAGCCAGTCATAGAGCAGAAGAGGGAAAGGTGCTTTGGTTTGGTGTTTCAGGCCCCTCTGGGCTAAAATGCATCCTTCCTGGTGGGGAGGGTCAGGGAGACCAGACCACACACCGTGTTCCCAGCTCCCCTGTTCCCGCATATAGTGAACTGCGAATGCCCTGGGGGTTCTTAGGAACCCGACAGAACCACACTGAAGTGCCATCTCCAAGTTAAACAGAAATTATTTGGAGTTGAATACAGATTACCAAATCTCTCCTTTTTTTCCTCTGTTCACAGTGGAGCTGATGTCACCGCTTGAGTAAACTCTTTCCTGGGGTTTGCTATCCTCATCAGGAATCTCTGAGCCCCCTCTCTGCCCAGGGAGCCACAAGTCTTGGAACCTGGCCTCCTCTGGGAGGGGGACACGACCGGTGGGGACCCGATATTGATTAGTGCTGTGGGCCCAGGCTCTGATCTCAAGCTCCCTGGGCTCAAACTGCAGATCTCTCTGAGCCTCGACCTGGCTTGAATGTGAGTGTTTAACCTCCCCCTGCTTTGGTCTTCTCAGCTTGCAAAGAGCAGCGGCCATGTACTGGTTCAGAGGGTTGCTGGGAGCATTACCAGCCAGCGTCAACACCTGTGCCCGGCACACAGTAGGTGCTCAGGAAATGCTCATGATTCTCTCGCACCCTCTGTTCCTCTCTTTACCCTCTTTACTGGTAATGACTTGCTTCAGCATTTTTATTCCAGCCAATCAGATGTCTGCTGGGGTCCTTTCTGGGCCCCTGTGCCTCACCCTCTCCTACTTCTGATGCACAGTGAGGGCCATTTTCCTTACCAGGCCTTCCCATTTCTTATCCTTCAGATTTGTGCATGGCTCTGGGCTCCTTTAGGAAATTTTCAGATTCCACATAGCTTCTTAGGCATTTTTGTGCTCAGAAATCCATCTCTCGGGGTGCCTGGGTGGCTCAGTGGGTTAAAGCCTCTGCCTTCGGCTCAGGTCATGATCCCAGGGTCCTGGGATCGAGTCCCGCATTGGGTTCTCTGCTCAGCCTGTTTCCTCCTCTTTCTCTCTCTGCCTGCCTCTCTGCCTACTTGTGATCTCTCTCTCCGTGTCAAATAAATAAATAAAATCTTAAAAAAAAAAAAAAGAAACCCATCTCTTCACCCTCATCCTATGATGATTTAGCATCAAGAGTTCACCAGCCCGAACCATGAGAGACTACGGACTCTGAAAAACCATCTGAGGGTTTTAAAGGGGCGGGGGTGTGGGAGGTTGGGGGAACCAGATGGTGGGTATTAGAGAGGGCATGGATTGCATGGAGCACTGGGTGTGGTGCAAAAACAATGAATACTGTTACGCTGAAAATAAATTTTAAAAATTTAAAAAAAAACACCAAAAACCAAATATGAAAGAGGGGAAAAAAAAAGAGTTCACCAGCCCATGACTGACTGATTCAGGAGACCGGCGGTGGGGGGGGGGGGTGGGGGTGTCCCGGCTCCCCATCTTCCTCCTACCACAAGTCCATGAGGCCTCCCGAGTCTGTTCCTTACAGACAAGAGGGTCTTCAAGACTCCATGTAACTCTATGAGTGTGTGGTTCTGAAGTCAGTCCCTACTGAGCTCCCAGTATGGGCCACGGTTTGTGTGAGGCATTTTCTCTTAATCATTCAATATATTTCACTGGAGCAGGTTATTTGTGGCTGTCCCAGGTGATGGGACAATCAGGGAGACCAAGACCGACGAGGTTCTACCTTCATGGAATTTGCAGAGGTAAGTTTTATGGAATCTCTTGGAGGTTCCGGTTCTTGGGTTCAGACCAGGTTATTAAGAACACGTTCACTGTCAAACAGCTCGTGATTGGCTGGGCCACGATGCGAACCAGATTTGATTGACTCTAGGGTTAGCTCACTCCCTCCCTGACATCTGTAGGCAGGGGAGCCTGATGCCTTCTAAAGTAGGATCAGCCTTAGGCAGGTCGGAGTGTGGGGTGGAGAGGTGATGTGTGCCTGGATGAGAGCTGACTCTGACGTCACTTCCTGGGAGAACCGAGGCCTGGGAGTGAGGATGGGGATAGTATGGGGCAGGAGGAGAGCAGATGCGCTGTGGGGTTGGGGGGGAATGCAGAGTGCCTGCGAATTTCTACCCTCGTCTCTTTTATTTCCATCCTGCTGACCCCTTTCCACTTACCCCTGCAGGGCTGCCCATTGAGCTAAGACCCCCCACCCCAGCAGTCCACTGTTCACTGACCTTCTTTGTCCTTGTAGTAGTCCATGATGTCCTTCAGGGTCACCATGAAGATCTCCTCCCTGGCCTTTTGAAGTTCACTCTCCTTCTCCCAGTCCTCTATTCCTTCCATCTGGCTCCACGGGTACTGGGGTATGGCCTTCCTGTCTTCACTGTCATAGTGAAAGAAATCCTGGTCATTGAGGTAGGCTGTGGCCTGGAAGCTGGGGAAGCCGTCCCTGGGCCTGGAGAGCCCAGTATAGAAGAAGCTCAGAGAGTAAGACCCTGAAAAAGAGGAGAGGACTTTGAGGTGTGGGGTCCATGCAGGGGAGGCCCAACGTGGGGCAGCAGAAGGCCAGGAAGGGGGCCGTGGCCACTGGGCCCCTCTGGAGGCTCATTCAAGTGAAAAGGGCCCTATGTCTATCCTGGGGGTGGTACTTTAGACACCATTCTGTGTTTTCACTGCACTGTTTCTTCTCGACACATAAGAAGATAATATTTCTCAGCCTCCTTGTACATATGTTGGGATCATGCTATTGAGTTCTGGGGATGTGAGAGGGAATGATGTCTTTTTTCTGGTCTGAGGCCCTATGAACTCATTTGCTCATTCGTTTATTTATTTTTAAGGATTTTATTTATATAGAGCATAAGTAGGCAGAGAGCCAGGCAGGGGGAGAAGGAGAAGCAGATTACCCACTGAGCAGAGAGCCCGGCATGGGGATCAATCCCAGGACCCCGAGATTATGACCTGAACTGAAGGCAGATGCTTAACTGACTGAGCCACCCCGGTGCCCCTGTCTTTCTTTTTTTTAATGTGATGACTGTGGAGACCTCAGGATGAAAACAGGAGTCCCAAGATGCAAATAGGCCAGATTCCTGAGTCACCCCAGAGAAGACAGGAAAGTTGCCTTTTCTGTATTACACTTTACAGGAGTAAGAAATAAACATTTGTTAGGGTAAGCCACTAAAAACTTTGTTACTGGAGCATAACCTAGTCTAAGACATAGAATTCGAATGCATAGGAAGAATTTACCAGAAAACTCAGGAGATGACTTAGAATGGATTGGCACAGGGTAAGACCAGGATCTGGATCTCAGAATTCCCAGGGTTGCACCTTGCATTTTGGCAGGGACTCGGAGAGTGGGGAGCATTTCCAATAATTAATTTGTGATACAATTCACATTGGTGTTAATAATGTTGGAGGTCACAGGGGCGCCTGGGTGGCTCAGTGGGTTAAGCCGCTGCCTTCGGCTCAGGTCATGATCTCAGAGTCCTGGGATCGAGCCCCGCGTCAGGCTCTCTGCTCAGCGGGGAGCCTGCTTCCTCCTCTCTCTCTGCCTGCCTCTCTGCCTGCTTGTGATCTCTCTGTCAAATAAATAAATAAAATCTTTAAAAAAAATAATGTTGGAGGTCATATGGCGGATTCCTAGATCAAGTGCTGAAATTATTCTTGGTAACTAGTTTCTAAATGTGATTAACTTTAGACCTTGTGTAAAGCAAATTACCCTTTGCAATGGGTGGGCCTCATCTAATCAGTTGAAGACCACAAGAAAGAAGCCCAGTTCCCCAAAGAAGAATTCTGCCTTTCTGCCTTCAGATTGCCTTTGGACTCAAGGCAACAACACTGACTCTTCTCCACATCTCCAGCCTGCAGATTTCAATCGTGCTAGCCAGTTCCTTAAAATCAATTTCTTTCTCTATATACATCGTCTTTGTTCTGTTTCTTTGGAGAACCCTAACTAATACAGATTTTGGTGTAGGATGCGATTAACATTTTATTTTATTTTTAAATTTTTAAAAGATTTTATTTATTTATTAGACACACAGAGAGAGATCACAAGTAGGCAGAGAGGCAGGCAGAGAGAGAGGGGGAAGCAGGCTTCCTGCTGAGCAGAGAGCCTGATGCGGTACTCGATCCCAGGACCTGGGATCATGACCTGAGCCAAAGGCAGAGGCTTTATCCCACTGAGCTACCCAGGCGCCCCACTGATAAACATTTTAAAATAAAACATATATTTTCATAGTTTTTAAGTGTCACAAATTTCAGACATGCACAGTTTACTTTCCATTTCTTCATCCTGAAATTGGTGGCCGAGAAACAGCCTCGTTTTCCTATTCTAGTGTTGACTCTGGTGCTTCCCAGATTCCAGCTGGCTTCTTTCCCCCTAACTTGCCTTCAGGGCTAATGGGCAGCACTGTGGTCTGATGGCAGGGGGGAGGGGACAGATTTCCTTCTACAACCCTCCAGTTAACCTGCCTTCACATCTGCTGCTTAGGCTTCTTCCCTCTTTCTCTGCGAGCCAGACAGACTCATCCAGCCACTGGAAGAAAGGAAGGAACAGGATGTTCTGCTTCTGTGGCTCCTGCACTGTCCTGGCTGTGTGACCCTGGCCAGGTTACTTCACCTCTCTGGTCTCGGTTTTGCTCACTTGTTAGCTAAGGGTTTTAGCTTCTGATTCTCTAAATCCTCATTTAGCATGACTCCAGAGGCTCCCTCAATCCTTCTTGAAGTTTGGGAGCTGAGTTAGGTGACAGCCTGGGACACCTCTTCCCACAGTATCCTTGGGAATCCCCGCTGCTCTAGAGGCCCTTCTCCAGCCCATCTGTCCCTCAGAGCCACCCTGGCTTCCTTACTCACCAGCTTGGGTTTCCTGAGGGACTGCAGGCCCCAGAAGGAGTAGCAGGGACAGCAGGACAGGCAGCATTGTGTCCATGGTGCCTGATCGGAAGGTTCTGGACTGCCCTGGTGGTAGAGCTCAGAGCAGACTACTTGGAAATAAAGCCAGGTGTAGTTATGGGAATGGTCGGGCTGTGAGCCCAGCCTGGGAAAGGTGACTTCACAGCCAATGAGCCTGCAGGACAGGCTCCTCCTCTGACAGTGACAGAGAAGGGTGCACAAGCCACCCTGGGCAGAGGTGGCCCTCAGCCAGTTCACGGACAGTGTGTAGACTGAGAGCCACAACAGCTGGCTGCAGGCTGGGACTTTGTGCGTCCCCCGGGTGACAGAATGCAAATGGATGAGGGAGGAGGGAAGGGGGGCTGTTAAGTGGCAGATGCCTGGGGTGTGTGTCCCTTTCAGTGGGGGGACTGGGGTGTTGTCAGACGCCCTCTGGAAAAGCTCTGCACGTGGCCAGAGCCCAGGCTTGGGCAGACCCCAGCTAGGGTGGGACCCCCTCTCACACCCTGCACACTGGTGTTCTGCACAGAGCACATCCACATCTCTGGCTCCCTCCCTTCCCTCCTTTTCCTTCTGTTTTTTTTTTTTAAAGATTTATTTATTTATTTGAGAGAGAGAGTGTGTATATTTACACATGCGGGGCAGGGGCGCAGGGAGAGGAAGAGGAAGAGAACCCCTAGCAGACTCCTAGCTGAGCACCAAGAGCCGGACGCGGGGCTTGATCGTACAACCTTGAGATCACGAAATCAAGAGTGGGATGCTCAACTGACAGAGCCAGCCAGGCACCCCTGCCTCCCCCCAACTCCTTTCCATGCTTGGGGAATCCAGGGCTTTCCATCATGGAGGCAGAAGTAGCCCGATTCCCCTTTGGGCTCGGTCCAGCAGACACTGGTGCCCTGGATGCTGAGGCTGGTATCAGTGAAGCAAAGAAGAAGGCAAAGGTGGGCGGCCCTTTCTGGGGAGCTCAGCAGCGGCTGTCACCGCCATGTCCTGGGAGCTGCGGGGCTACAAGCTGTAGGGGTTCCCACGTCCGGTGAGGGGGTGTCATTTGTCCGTATAGCTGACAGCAGTGTGTGTTCACAGGACTTGCTCTGTGGTGTGATTTTCCCCTGTGCTTCTCCCGCCTAACTCTGAGCCGGGGTTTTCCAGTCTCTCCGTTGATTCTGAGGGCTAACCGATAAATCTGTTTATTCTTTGCTTCAAGTCAGAATTAGATTCTGTTTCAGCAACTGAGGATCCTGACTGATAATGAAATTGGGACAGGGAGATGGAGGGAGGGTAACTGGACTTGACCATGGGGCCGGACTGTGGCTGAATGAAGACACGATCCAGATGTTTCGGGAACTTTCTTGCAAGCTGTGATTTTACTCTGCAGAGGGCTAAACACCTGACTGAGTTATCTCTTGTGGTCGGCCAGAGGGAAGTGCTCACTGAAGGCAAGATTTTAGGTCCTAAGCAGCTGCTACCATAGGACAGTGCGAACGGCTTAAGGAAATCAGGGACCAAAGCCTGGGAAGGTAGAGACCAGAAGTGTTGGAGAGCCTGAAGAAAAAGACTGTAGATTCAGAAGCAAGAATTACTGACTTCAAGCACAGCCTGAAAATCAGATAATTTTCTACGACAGTGTGGAGGGAATCTTTTGTCTTTTGCAATTGCAAGGATGAAACATGAAAACCCAACACTGATTAATGATTAGAACTGAACAACAGAAAATCAGGTTGCATAACCTAATTACAAAAACCTAATAAATCTTTTTTAAAAGATTTATTTATTTATTTATCTGACAGAGAGAGAGAGAAAGAGAGAGCGCACAAGTAGGCAGAATGGCAGGCAGGGTGGGAGGGAGAAGCAGGCTCCCTGCTGAGCAGGGAGTCAGATGGGGGACTCGATCCCCAGACCCTGGGATCATGACCTGAGCTGAAGGCAGACGCTTAACTGACTGAGCCACTGAGGCACCCCGAAAACCCAATAAATCTAATAACCAAGAGGGGTCAGGACTTTCCTGCCACTCTCCTATGATGGATGCCAATAAGACATTATTAGAGAAGGAACTCAAATCTGGAAGTCAGGAAAAAGGCAGCATGGGAGATGTTGTGGTTGAACAGGGCATGGAACAAGATATATATGTATACACACACACATATTTTTAAATTTTTATTTAAATTATTTATTTAAATATTTTAAATATTATTTAAATTTCATTTTTAGGGGCACCTGGGTGGCTCAGTCAGTTGTATCAATTAAATGTCCAATTCTTGGTCTCAGCTCAGGTCTTGATCTCAGGGTTTTGAGTTCAAGGTCCAGGTTGGGCTCCACGCTGGGCATGGAGACTACTTAAAAAACATTATTTTAAAGTAGTCTCTACACCCAGTACAGGGCTCGAACTCACAGCCCCAGAATCCCGAGCTGCATGCTCCATCGACTGAGCCAGCTAGGTGCCTCAGAAATGCCAAATTCTGTTGGCAGATAAAGGACAAATTGTGTAAGGACAGGGATGGTGTCTGTCATGTTCATTTTTCTGTCCCTAGTGCTTGGCCCATTGCTTGACAGAGAGAAGACAATCAAATAACACTTAAAAAATAGATCAACGGATACATGAGCAAAGACAATAAGAGATGGTGCCAGACCTATGTGAGGGTCACTAAGGCCAATTTGGTGCAAATTGGGCTCATGAAGATTGAGGGGTTGGGCAGGTGGGATGACAAATTCAAAAGGGAGGTTAGAATCAGGTTCTGGAGGGCCCCCATCCAACGAGTATCCAATACCATCCAACGAATGAGTCACATCCCACTCCTGTGTCTTGTCCCTAACAGCCTGTGGGCTCTGCATACCCCACTCTCTCACTCAGTGGTTCTTGGCCTTTTCTGTCATCTCCTCCCTTGCCAGTTAACCTCAAGATAATTAAAAAAAATTTTTTTAATTTAAAACTTTATTTTCTTTCAAGATAATTTTTTCTTTTTTAAAGTAGTCTCCATACCCAGCATGGAGCCCAGCACAGGGCTTGAACTCAAGACCCTGGGATTAAGACCTGAGCCGAAATCAAGAGTCAGATGCTTAACTGACCAAGCCACCCAGGCGCCCCCCAAGATAATTTTAAATGCATAAAATAAAATACGGAGGATATGAAGGAAGCCAATTACATGGAAACACAGGTCTTCCCATGTACACTTGGGGCTGATGGGCTGTTTGCAGAGTGGTCCCCCAATATAGAGCAATATGCAATTCCAAAGTGGTTGAGGAATTGCCAAGAAGAAGACAGTTTGTGGCAATTAGGTCCTCTTGGGGCGGGGTGTTCTCAGAGCCCACTTGAACTTGGTCCTACCTGCAGGCGAATCTACGCTGGTTCTCTGTTGGGCGGGCAGGAGGTGCTTGTGGAAGGATCTGCATTTGTTCCTCTAGGCCCCTCATCCTCCCTGATGATCCTGCCTGGTAATGTCCACAGCCCAACCCCACCATCACTCATGTCCCTTGTCAGGCCCCTGTGGCCCTCCCCTCAGCCATCTCACGCCCCACTGGTCAGGAATAATCTTTTCTCTCTTCTTGACAGCTGTCTTTACTTCACTTCCTTCTCTGAAATCTGAATCCCTTCAGGAAACTTCTCTGGGTGTCTGAGTGGCTCTGGGTCCCTCTCCCCTTCCCCCACAGCTGGCCAGGACTGGGGTCTCCAGAGGTTCCCTCCCCCTGCCCACCCCAACCCATCTCTCCTGCTGTGGTGGGGTGGGATCTCGCATCCCAGTCTGCCTTAGCCTGGCCTGTTCCTGTGGACTTTGGGTTTCCTTATTGATCTGAAATTCTTCTCCTGTCATGTGGTTTTTTTCAAATTTGTTCAAGGGGCCAGAAGTTGCTTTGAAATACCACTGGCTGAATTGATTCCTTCTGAGTTATTTGGTTTCTCTTCCATGACCAAGTATCAAAGACAGTATTTTCACATGTTGTGTACCCAATTAGGCATGAGAAAAATTACGAATGAGAGAGAGAAGCAAAAGGTCCATGGTGCTTAACCAGGCAAGTTTCTCCCTGGGGAGCTCAAGATAAGGACAGAATCTGAACTTAGGTACCTTCCTTGAGGGTCAGGAATGAGCCGGCAATGTCCTTCCCTGTTCTCATTCTTGTCCTGAATGCAGAGCTTTTAAGAATTATTTTTAGTGGGTTAGGGGCACCTGGGTGGCTCAGTGGGTTAAGCCTCTGCCTTCGGCTCAGGTCATGATCTCAGGGTCCTGGGATCGAGCCCCACATAGGGCTCTCTGCTCGTCAGGGAGCCTGCTTCCCCCGCACTCCACCCTCTGCCTACTTGTGATCTTTCTCTCTCTGTCAAATAAATAAATAAAATCTTAAAAAAAATAATTATTTTTAGTGGGTTAAGTAGGATTCTGAGGAACATCATTCTATACTTTGAAGCCCTCTTTTTCTTCCACTGGGTCTTTGACATGCTATGTCCCCTCTTGTCAAGGTTTCTTGACCCTTCTCTTGCTCATTGCTGGTGAGTAGAACACAGGGAGCACTGAACACTTAGTCCCGGGAGCAGGTGATCCCTCCGAGCATATCAGGGCTTTCCTCCTCTAGGCAGGCCTCAGCCACTTGACTGGAATGTTCTCAGATTCCCACTTCTGATTGGCGTCCAGATCTACAGGGTCCAAGGGCACGCAGGCTAGGATTTCTTTGTTGAATTTGATGAATCCGTTCATTGTGGTAGGTGTATCTCCAGAACACTACCCTGCTTTTTAAATTTTTTACTCTAGAGCTCTCAGTTCAAATTCTGCAGAAGGAGCAAGACCCTGAATGTAGCCCCCCACCCCGCTGCCAGCTAGTCTGGCCTCATTTTCTGCTTTGTTCATGGCATTGTTTCCATCTCTGTTGTGTTTCTTAACATTTTTTTATTAGTGATTTTAGCCTATAAAGTTATAAAAGCAGTTGACGGTTGAGTTAATTTTTTGTTTAAAATAAATTTCCAGGGGTGTCTGGATGCTTTAGTCAGTTGAGCATATAACTCGTGGTTTCAACTCAGGTCATGATCTCAGGGTTGTGAGATTTAGTCCCGAGTCAGGCTCTGCGCTCAGCGTGGAGTCTGCTTCAGATTCTCTCTCCCTCTTCCTTACTCTCTCTCTCTCAAATAAATAA